TGTGCGGTAGTCGACCTTTGTGGTGAGGTACTCCTCGGCGACCTTCCGCCAGTTCTTCCACTCCATGACAATCTCCTCGCAGTCGAGCAGCATGAGACCGAAGAGGACACCGGTCGGGAGTCCGCCACGCTCCTGGCCGTCGTGGACCTGCAGCGACTCGCGAATGTCCATGGGCAGAGTCGCGTCGAGCTCGTGCTCCAGCTCGTTGACGTCGTTGGATGTGCAGCCCTCGCACATGTTGTCGAAGAGCTCTTGGTAGTGGTCCTCGACCCAGCGGTCGATGCGCCGCCACGAGTGGCTGACAGGCGGCGGCGGGGGCAGGCCCTCGTTGAAGTCCTGCATGGGGATCTGGCCGTTGGCGCCCTGGGGGAACGTGTCCGAGTCCATGGTAGCCTGGCGGCTGAGGGAGCCGCGCATGCCGGGCGAGTAGGGGGAGCTGGGGGACATGGGGCCCTTGGGGGAGCCGATGAAGCCATTGCTCGTCGCGAGCTCGTCGTGCTGGTAGGGCGAGTGCAGGTCGGTGCGGGACTCGGCGCCGCTGGCCGTGATGGAGGTGAGGGCGGCGTGGCGGCTCTGGGGGATGGGGATGTGCCGGCCGGTGCGGTAGGGCGAGTCGTGCGAGGCGTGGCGGTCGTACGACGTCATCGTGTGCCAGAAGTCCTTCAAGGACGCGGTAATTCTGCGCTGCTGTTAGCCATCATGTCCAGGTGCTGCGCGGGGGAGCGGCGCCAGTAAGTCCGGGGGCTCGTACTGTTGTGCCATGGCGGTGGTGGTGAGCGAGGGAGCGCGGAACAGCGAAAAGAGCGTGAGGGTGCGCTCTGCGCTGGCGGGCTGTGAGTGTTCCGGGGCTCAGCGAGTGTCGGGCGGCTTGGAGCGCTGGGGGGATTGAAGTAACTTGAGCTGCGTCGGCGTGGCAGGAGCTTGAATTGGAATCGAGAAAACGGATTGCAGGTGACGTTAAGGGGTGCCGACACGCCAAGACAAAGCTCGACCGGGATGGCCCTGGACCGATTGACGAGCGTTGAATGCGCACTGCTGGCCCACTGCTTCAGGACAGGTATCGGAGCACGCCAGACAGTAGGGTGAATGATTACAAGTCTACAACAGTAGTGTCGTGGTGCGGTCGTGAGGACGCTGGTTGTGTTGTTGTTATGGTTCGTCGCCTGCATAACAAAGCCCTGCAACCACTCAACGCCGCCGCTCCTCCTCTCCTCACCCTCTCCACCCTCCCCTCTCCGTAGCCAACTTGAATTACCCCCGGCTTTGCAGTCATTAAGTTATTAATAGCGCTTAACACCCCTAGGTATCGCCGTTGCCACCCAGTATCACCACCACCAGACATCACTTCCTTTTACACAACCAACAGCTTGCCGTGGCCAATTCACTCCCTCCCCTAACCCCCATGCGGCCCATTTTGGCCGCCTCACGTCGGCGCCGTTCGTCCAACCGTGGGCCTGTTTCAGACTTGGGCGGCGTCGTGCGCGCCAACTAGAGGCTTTGCCGGGTGGCTTCGCTTGCTTAGCTTGTTATCGCTCCCTTCCCCGTTAGGAGGTGCAGCTGCATCTCTGGCGTCGTCCAGGCGGTGTAAAACGAAACAGAGCCACTTTTATGCTCTCGCCGTGTCTTGGGAAAAACAATCCACATGTCCGACACTTCTGCCGCACCTATGCTCAAACGCGCCAGCTCGGTCAAACGCTTCGGCCACGTACAACAAGCAATTTCTAGCAAGTTCCAAAGCTGTAGATAAGGCTGACCGGCGTGGCTTGATGCGCGCCTTGCTATTGCGTCTTCACTCACCAGCTACCGCATCCTTCGACGCAGATAATGCGCTCCCCCCGCTAAGATCCCCAATTTCCGCCATAATCTCCCAAAGGGTCCAGCTAATGTCGGTCCATGATGCGGTCAGCAGCGTTCATGACGTAGACCGATAGTCGGCAAGCACGTATTGCACATGTAAGATTGACGGCCATGCACTGTGTCGAGCGAATGCGAGTGATCAAGTGTAGCCTTGGATTGCGTTTCAGATTAACATGCCGGCGAATTCCGCTACACTGTGATATGTAGCCCTGATTGCGACGCAGCCTTAGCATCCGTCATGTGCTACCAGAGCCCGTCCTTGAACTTTGTACCCCGCCAAGTACCATCTCCTCCACTAGTAAAGCTTCGTACGACACCCCTTCGAATCACATTCTTGCCGCGCAACCGGGAACATGCGTTTGTGCGAAATTCGCCGTGAGCAGCAGCGGGGTGCGGGGGTCCTGTGAGGCTGTTTGCTCATACTCCTATTTTTAGGCCCCGCCATCTCTCGCCACATCGCATGGTAACCGATGTGGCTATTGTGGATACATTGTTCTTCCTCCATCGCAACCTCTGACCTCGCCGCTCGATCTGCGACGTTCAGTTTGGCTTCGGGGATTTGCCGCACTAGTTGGCCTGATCTACCCCAGAGTCGTATTGCCCGCCGCGTGGGTCGGATACGAGCTGATGCGCGTTGGGTAAGCGGCCTTCGTCCCGACCCGGCATGTAGTTGGGAGGCGCGGCTCCGTCTGCTTCTGACGCTTTTTCCTGACGCCGGGCTTAATTCTTGGGATGCTTTATGTTGATATTTGGGTGAGTCAGTATCATAGATGAATTCCTTGAGGTTGATGCTGTGTGGAACCGCTCTGCTCGTATAGCTAGAGCGCTGCGCTAACCTAATGTCTTGCCCAAAAACTGATTGAGCTCCTCCTGCAGCGGTAGCACAATATTCTCAACTGCAGCTTGGAGGCAGTCGGCATTTTGTAAGCTAGCCATGGGACTGCTGCAGTATCCGATTGCACTTTGAAACGCAGCAGACATCTCTTCAGCCTCATTGCGTGACCAAGTATGCACTAAGGTAAGCATTTTCCACTGTTCTGGCACTTGTGCGTTTGCAACTTCGTCTTCAATCTCAGATTTCCGGTATTTCTCGGCTGTTGTGCCGAAGTAGAGCTCAAGTAGTGCTACGGCCAGCGCGAGGAGTATGTTGTTCTCGAAAGTCACTGGCTTCGGTTTCTTCTCTCCGTCTTTTGGAATATCGAAAAGGCTTGGAGCGAGATATGGGCGGGTGATGTCGATTGGACGAGTAGGATCTGACGTCCGATGGAAGAAGATGTCCCGCGCAGTCCATTTGCTAGCGAGCCATGGAGTTGAGTTCAGGTAGAGTATGCTGGACGCCAAGGTCAAAGCTAGGCTGTACCTCTCTTTCTTACTCAGCTTGGATTTCTTTCCGTTGATCATTGGCGGACGTTCTAATAAGGTCTCGAGCGATATCAGTTCTGTACTGGGAATGTACGCGTCTGCGCTGTCAACTGAGTAGGCGCCTCGTAGTTTGCTCTTGCTGTTCAATGAGAAGCCGATAGTCGAAGACGTCTTGTGTAGTTGCTGGATCGATGCACACAAGTCGCTGACTTCTTCATAAGAAGGTAAGGAACTTGTTCCGGGATCTAAGACTGCGTATGGAGGAAGCGATCCGAAGCTGACGCTCTTTGTTACCCTGGGTTTGGGAGAGGGCATCGGTGTGAGACAGCCTTCCTCTTCTTCGTCGTCTACATGGAATTCAGCAGCCTGGAACAACCAGGGCGCTCCATGGCTATCGGACGAGATGGTTGAAAAAGAAACGTTAAAACTTGTTTTCGCCGAATTGTACATCTTGTGGTGTTTTGACGCGAATACGCTCTCGCGGGGCTCAAGCTGCAGGCTCGCTGTATGAGAAGACTTGCAGGCGCAAGACCAGCACAAGTTGAGCGACTCGTGTAGAATCTTGGCGTATCGTTGTAGCTTCTGTAAGCGCGTAGCGTATGACGGCTTCGTAGCCTTGTGGAATGTTTCTATCTTTTCGCTCTTTTCCGTGAATCTTTCCAGCTGTCGATTGCACTCGTCAAGTTCATCGAGAAGCCCTTTGACGCTCTTTTTGTTCATGGCGAACTTTACGCGCTTGCCAAATTCGAATGTGTCGTCAGCCTTCTTAGGATGTGCGGCGAGGATTGCCTCGAGATCGTTTCGTGTAAGCTCAGCCGCTTTTTCCAGATCCAATTTGCTTGCGATTTTGGTCATTATCCTCGCTATCTCCGTCATCGTGTTCTGATAGGACTTGTAGGTGTTTTGCAGCTTCTCCTGAAGCGCTGTCTCCTTGCTCTTCCATAGCTCTAGTGAAGCCCTAGGATCAGTTGACATCTTCAGCCATTCGGCATCTGTCGTGATGGATCCGAAGAGAATCTGGATGGTTTGATTGAATTGGTCATGCTGAGCTCCCAGTTTTCTGATAAGTTTGGGCAGTTCCTTGTCCCATTTCAAGAAGCCCTTGATGGGATCGAGTCCTTCCTTGTAGGACGTTATTGCTAGCTCGCGGTTAGCCCGTTTTTGCTATATATCACCCGCTATCAGGACGCAATTTACCCTGTATAATCAATGGCAGGGCGCCAAGTACGAGGCCGGCGACCTCAATGCCGCTCATTGTTGCGATGGCCTGGTCTTCGAATCAATGGCGATGTCGCGCGTCATTGGTTGGCGAGGGAAGGAGCGAGGGCCGAGCGGGGTACAGGGCTGTCAGGCAATCACGCGAAGAACACGACTCCCAGCTAAAGCATAATGGCTGCGTCGCGAGCGATAAGGCAGAGGAGACATGAGTGTCTCATTTCGCGAGCAACAGGAGTTTACGACAGCAGAAGGTAACACTGCCCGCGAGGCGCCTGAACTGCGCCCCCACTATCCTGAAAGATCCTAGCATCGCAGCCTTCAGGCTGCACGCTGACAACACAAGTGCTGACTAACCGCCTGCCATCTACCATCCCATTGCAGTCGACGTTGTAGTAACAAGAGCATCTGCCTGCCGTCCTTTCGTCGGCATCAACGACTCAGTTGGTCTGGGCTACCAGTAGCTCAGCGCATCAACAACCACTCCAGCGTTGGGGTCGTGCGATCGCCGCCGCACTTCAAGGCTCCCCTCGCTTGCGCCTGCTCCGACATGCCGAGCGCCCATAATGTCGACTCTTAGGCTTGCGACAGCTTCCAACGTACGCGCTTTCCAGATACTGACCGAAGCTCTCGACGCAAGCAACGGGAAGTGGTCACAATGGATTGAAAGCGAAACACTCGACGATGAGGTCGGAAGATTCAGAGTGTGGGCTGGCAATCTGGGAGCGTTGCAGAAAGGCCACAGCTCGCTCGACTACAGACTGCGCGGATCCCCCGTTTTATTCAGTAGCGCCCTCAGACTACTGAATGAGCTTGAGCAGAATCTGAATGAAACATATGCTATCGTATCTGAGGCGCGCCTGCCTTATGAACAGCAAACGCCATCGGAGGGTTCTGACGATGATAGCGACCGTGGCTCGTCCAGTGAGGAAGAGGCCGACGACTCTGACAGCGACGAGCCTAGGAGCGAGTTGCGGATGAGATATGAAGAAATCGTGGACATCATCGACAACCTCTACAAGCTCAGCGTCCGCATCAGGACACCGACAGTACGCTCAAGATCGCTCAAAGCCTCTGCCTACACGCCAGTGGATCCAGAAACTGGTGTGGATATCCTCGGTGTGTACGCTGAACTGGATCGAAAGCATGTTCGAGAGCTACTCTCGCAGCTACGGAAGACACACCCTGCACAGAATGAGGAAGATCAGGACTTCTTGACTGAGCGGTTGAGCTCTTCTATCACATTGCGTAGGCGGCATTTCAAGTATTGGAAGCGTCGTAAGTTCGACAAGTAATATTGCTGCACCTTGCACAGTCTGACTATGATAGATCGTGATAAGTTGGGCGCTTCCGCAGATTCCGAAGACATGGCAAATGCTGGCAAACCTACAGCGGATGAAGCCCCAGCTCCGATGCGGTATGACACTCTTGAAGCTCACCCGGTACGTACTGTTCCATCAGTTGTTTCCTAACGCACTATTTCGAACGTGATCTAACTTCGGTCTTAGCCGATGCCAACGATAAATGCCCCAAAGCCGACGCCGAGTCAAAAGACTGGGAAGACCTTGCTATCTGGTACGGAGGCGACGCATCATCATCAATCTCTAGATGATATCGTAGACACCAAATCCGTGACGAGCTACGCAGTCACCGTAAAAGACTTGGACGGAAAAGGCATCGATCTACCGCCTCCTCCAAAAGCTGCTACCTGCGACAAAGACTTCGAGTGCCCATACTGTTGGATCGTCTGCCCTGCACGATATGGCAAAGGCCGAGCATGGAAAACACATCTGCTACAAGACCTCCAGCCGTACATTTGTACACACCGAGACTGCGAGAGTTCCGAACTGCTCTTCCGTAGTCGTCGGGAGTGGGCGGAACACGAAGCGACTCATCGCAAACTATGGCGCTGCCCTGAGCACGTGAACGCCCTATACAACACCCAAGCTGGTCTTGAGAATCACCTTCGGCAGGAACATATCGGCAGCTTTCCCGAAGATCAGATAGCTATCATGGCTAAGATTGGAGAGACCATAGCTGTGGACTCGCGGGAGAAGTGCCCGATTTGTTTCGTTTCCACGGCTACTGAAGGTTTGGGCGACCTGCAGAGCCACATTGCTAATCATTTGGAGCGCCTTGCTACCTTTGCACTGCCTCATGGTAGAGAAGACGACGAAGACGGTGCAAGCAGTGTGGCAAGCCGTGGGAGCTCCAATTCTCAGTCTTTGCCCGAGTCGATAAGTACCGGTTCAAGCAATGAGATGGTCGCGCTTAACCGAGATCTGGAAACTGAACAGCCAGTTGAGACGGAGCTCAATGAGGAAGACCGCCTGCTGCTACAACTCAAGGAAGAGGAGCAATTGCCATGGAAGGAGGTCGCAGCGCGCTTCCACGAGACCTTTGGCAGGCAGTACGAAATACCAGCGATGCAGAAGCGTCGTAAGCAACTGAGAGACGAGAGGTTCAAGCGAGATCTTGAGTCTGTGATTAATGAGGAAGATCTCCTACTACTACAGCTAGGGGACACAGAGAACGTGTCTTGGGAGGATATCGCAGCGCGCTTCCAGAAAGCCTTTGGCAAAGAGTACATAACACCCAGATTCCAGTCTCGAATTGAGCGACTATACAAGGGGCCGAGGAAGCAGTCACTCCAGTCAGTGGGGACCAGCCCAGATTTGCTGTCCGCAGAGATGCTACAGCAACTTCCAGACGAAAGTCAAAATCGATTGGCAATGTTTTCAAATCAAGTGGACGACCTGGACGACTCGGAAGACGAGCTACCCGAAAATGAACAGACTGATGAGAACATATTGCCCGAGCACCAGAAACATCTGGAAGAACGGGAGGCGTTTAGACAACACGTCTCATCGTTACCAGGAGTTCTATCGGTACGATTCTATCGCGGCTACGGCTCATGGACTGGCCTTATCACGTTCGCCGATGATCTGGTGGGCGGACAAGCAACTGCGCTGTTTGACGCTCAACGATTCCCCAACGTTGTGTTCAAGAGTAAAAAGAACAAAAGCAAGTGGACATTTACCAGAATCGCTGGCACAAGCAGTAAGTCAATGTCTAGATGAGATTCACGAAGGCTTGCAATATAAACGGCATACTGACGAAATTTCGCTGTAGAGAAGGACGGTTCCTTCGTCCGCCAGCCAACGGTGGATACACAGACCACTGAAGAAGCCGAGATTCTTCCATCCGGGTCCGACACGTATGACGAAGAAGACGAAGAATCAAGCAAACAACCAATCATCACGACTGCCGAGATCCCTACGCTACGCTCGCTTTATCAGTCCAGGCGGCTGTTGCAGCGCGATCAAAGCTTTGCGCCAAACGATGCTTACAATCAGATGATCTCGTTCTGTCATTACGACCTAACGAGATTGAAGGTGGATGCCATCGTCAGCAATGCTTCAGGTAACTTCCAAGCCAATCCTGATCCAGATTCTCTGCATCACTCTATCTATAAAGCCGGCGGTTCAGGTCTCAGAGAAGAGGCGAGATCGAAAGCCAAGGTCAAAGTGGGCCAGGTCGAGCTCACACACGGCCACAATCTTCCAAGCTCATGGGTAATTCATGCAGCTGCACCAGGATATACAGGCCGCAAAGGAGTTGGCCAATTCAACGTTCTTTCCGAGTGCTATCGGAGTGCCATGAGAATGGCGGCTACCTACGAGTTCAAGACAATTGCCTTTCCTTGCCTGGGTACTGGGGGTTGCATGTTCCCTGCACGTGTCGCTGCACGCATAGCGCTACAAGAGATAAGGGAATACCTGGATTCGCATCCTACACATCGACCCGAGCGCATCATCTTCTGCGTACGGGCAGCAGTCGATGAGAAGGCGTATACCGACTTCTTACCGGTATTCTTCCCACCCACACATGGAGACTTGGACAGAGCAAGAACTTCAGACTGGTCCGCGAATCGTGCTGCGCTGGCAGCTCAGGTACTAGAGGCACGTACGCAACTTCAAAATGCATTGACTGCAATCACTGTCACCTACGACTTTGGCACGCAAAGTACGGTCTGTGCTCACGACATGCGCAGGATCGACTCTATGCTGAGTTCGATCCGCAAATATCTCTTAGGGTCTAAAGAGCTCAAGCGCAGTCTGGGCGATCTCAACTTACTATGTTCCGTCATTCTTACGGCATGTGCTGACATCATGGATATGGCCGAGCGAGCACGTAAACAGGGGCCTGCTGGGAATCCGCAGTCTATCTGGACCGAAGCCAACACCGATATACGAGCCAAGCATGGATTTGAGCTTACGAGTGTCTTTGACTACAGCTGGATCTTCGCCAACAGCTTAGAAGAGGTCCTAATACTTGGCAAAGCAGAACCAGATGCGATGGGAAGAGCGCGTCAGATCTTGGAGACCTATGGTGTCAAGCAGAAGGGCCAAGATGCCGAAGGTATCCGCGACCACCTGGATGAGGTGCTGTACGTGCGTGAGGCTGAACGGCCTACCCCCAAAATTCGCGGACTCATCCAAATTCATCAAATACCCCCCGTAGCGAGGCTCTACATACTGGGCCAACTGGAAGCGAAGCCCACCATGGCGAAACCGTCCACGCTATTCAACCACACTGTCTGCCTACTGAGAGAGGACATCACAAGACTGGAAGTCGACATCGTGGTAAACTCAACCGACCCAAGCTTCTCCGGCATGGGCACTCTAGATCGCAGCATCTTCAAGAAAGGAGGTGATGAGTTGCGCTCGGAAGTCTCAACCTTCGGCAAATGTGAAGAAGGCGACGTCAAAGCAACTGCCGGATACCTTCTCCCAGCCAAACATATCCTCCATGTCGTTCCGCCTGGAGTGTTTAGAAGCGATACCAAGAACATTTTGAGGAACATCTACCGAGCAGTCTTGCATGATGCCGTACTCATGAGGGCAACTTCCATTGCGATACCGAGTATCGGAACCGGCATGCGGAATTACCCGCGGCGCGACTGCGCGTCGTTGGCGATGGAGGAAGTGAAACGCTTTCTGGAATCCGCTGAACCGGGTAATGGGCTTGATAAGATCATATTCGTTGTCTTCTCTTCCAATGACGAGTTCGTCTACAAGAGCCTTTTGCCGGTCTACTTTCCGCCAACGAAGGGTAACACATCGCCTACTATCGTGGCGAAACAGCCTGCGCAGGTCGAGGGAAGCTCTTCTTCGTCATTACCGGTTCCCACGGATCCGCCCTCTCTGCCGGTTGCTGGAACGGAGGCCTCCCCCAAGGTGGCCTCTGCCCTCAACTTCGCAATGACGGAACCTATGGGTCAAGCCGCGGCCAACACCGAGGTCAGATCCGGCAAGCAGCCAGTAAAGTCACGGGCCTGGAATGACGATGAAGCCAAAACTTTGATGGACTTCGAACTACATGTCGGAACTTGCAAAGTGTGCGAAACCGGTCTCTATGAGAGGACCCAAAGGCTCTGCGAGCCCGGCTTCCACTTCGCCCAAGCTGTCCTGCAGCGAACAGAGATGTCTGAAGATGCGCTTGTGTATAGCAAAGCGGACGAGCAGGGTGAAAGAGAACAGCTGGAGATACCAGTGGAACGATTGCCCAGCTCGATGCTGTTACTCTCTACCGTTGCAAAAGGCGGACGTTATGTCTTCGAGGATACATCCACTCAAGTCACAAAGTCTGACACGACGGACTCTGATGCGCTTTTGTCGGAGCACTCTACGGTACCAAATGACCCGGACAATATTGCTCAGGCTACAGAACAACCAGCGGTAGTCCGAGTGGAAGTCTTATCCCCGCGTACCGATAGTGGAGACTGGTTCTACTCATGGGTTCGAGTCTTCAAGAGCAACATCGAGATGTACTCTGGGGATTATGATCCTGATCCATACGGAGAATCTACTGGACATATGCCGTATGCGTCCATAGATTTTACCGATACCACCACAAACGTGGACGGCGGCAAAGGCAACATTGTGTCTTTGTGGACTGTACCGCGAGGACCAGATCAAGGAGAAACATGGCATTTCCGTAGCTCTGAAGTTGCTGATTCGATCGCGCTTTTGGAACTTTTCAAACGGGCCATCAATCGTGGTCGCCAGGAGCGGGAGAAGAAGATAACAGCGGAGGTTGAGGAGACAACGGGCCCGGAAGCGACGGTTTCCTCGGAAAGCGAACGAGATGTTCTTGAAGATCCATCTGCTGGGATTAACAAGCCCAGTACTGCGAAGCTCGACGACCAAGTCCAGAAAGACGACAAGGCGGCCTACTTTTCGGAAGCCGAAGATGCGGATGCTGTCGTACCAGATGCGGGGCCACGTGCTGTGATCCGTGTCGAGACTCTCGCGAAGTCGCGCGGAGCTTCCGATTGGCCGAACGCCATTCTATACGTCTATGAGGGCAAGATTGTTGTGGAACTTGAGAATAACGATGGCCCAGACCGACCATATACGACAATAGACCTCACGAGTGGTATTCCACATCTGGGCCGCCGACGTGGGGATCCTGGAATCGGCCATGTGGATACGGCGTGTCTACGGGTGACAAGCAGGGGAGACTGGGAAGAGGGAGGCTGGGAAAGTACATGGTACTTTCGCAGCCACGGAGAGTCTGATACAGACGCAATGTTCAATGTCCTTCAGGAAGCCGTCGATCGCAATATGAAAGTGGAGCAGAAAACGGCGTCTACTGAGGTGGAAGAAACGACAAACCCGGGGCCAACAACTGCGCCGATTGCACAGCGCGAGGAAACTGGGGATGCTTTCGATGCATCATCTTATCCCGAATGGAACCAAAGATTACGCGACATCAAAGATCAAGCCGATGACAAACACCGCACCAGAGAAGAAACCGTTCCAGCATACGACGCGCCAGGAGATAGTACATCCAACTCGGGCAGTGCGTCAGCAGATTCGGAGCCAGAGTCAGGACAACCTAGTCTAGACGCACGTATCCTTGCTTACCTCGACAATGATCTCAATACCCGATCTGGCTTGTACACCTCGTACATAGGTCAGAACTTCAAGGAGATCGCTTCTGCATTCGAAAACCGGCACGCTACGTCCATCGCTCGGGCTTTGCGAAGGCTAGCTGCAAAAAGAATAGTTCATAACACTGTTGATGATGAGACATGGGTTATCTCGAAACCATACACCAAGCTTCGTACATCAGATCAAGAGGACCAACCAGAGAAACCAAGCGAGACTGGTACAGATGCTCTCGCTGATCAAGTCTTGATTTACATGAATCGTGTAGGCGGTAGAACACTGCTCGTTTCCATGGTCAAGAAGTTTCAAACTTCTACTGACGCATTATGGCCTGCGATTAGGTACCTAAAAACCAGCGAATTCATCTCTAGTCAGGCTCGCGATCAGATCTGGATTTTGACCGACAAGGGTAGAACAAGAGTACGTGAGTTACAGGCGAAATCAGCAGAAGCAGGAAACGACATCGCGCAAGTTACTGGATCGACCCCGGGTGCGACACCTAGCCCATCTAGCTACTGGTCTATCTCCGAATTACAGGATTTCGAAATCAATGTTGCACGCTTTGGCACGGACTGGACAGCAATGGCGAATCACATGGTTACAAAAACACCTACTATGCTCAAGAACAACTACCTACATCTTGTGGAAATTGGAAACCCGGAATTGGAGCAGTCAGCAAAAGAGACAGATGCTCGAAACGCTCTCGCTTCTCAACAACTTGCTACGGAGTCGCTCGAGTCCATGGAACAGCCCGCCTCAGATGAGGGCAACGCTACTGCTGAAGAGCGCGATGATTCCAAAGCTCAGCCAGAGAAAGCTTCCAACCAGGATGAGGACACATCAAACACCTTAGCCGACCGTGCTTTATCTTACCTGAGAAGCCTGTCTGGAGTGAGCGAAAACATATCAGATCTCGCGACTGCATTTGATACTCCGGTCGCTGAGCTTCAACCAGTACTCAAACAGTTGAGATCTGATGGGTTGGTGCATAATACGGGGGATAATTCGACTTGGGCTGCGGCAATCTCAACTCGTCATTTTCGTCCACAATCGACTCGCGCGAATCCCGCGCCCCATTCTCGAATTGCAAAGTCAGGTGTCTTGCCGCGTTCTGGTGGTGGTGGTGGCTACAACATTTATCCATGCCCGAACTGGCAAAAGCAAGGCCACCCCTCAGTCTACGACTTTGTTGACAGAAAGGATCAGATGTGCGCTCATTGCGTTCAAGCTCAGAAACGGGAAGATACGAGCACGGAGAGCGCCACACATGATGATAGCACTTCAAAAACCCACATTCAGCCGACCGGTTTAGGGTCTTCGATCATGGACGCTGCAGTTACTAGCGGAAATTCGAGTCCGGTCGACGAAAGCGTCCTTACAATTGAGGACTGGGTCAAGCGAGCGGAAGAGTTACAGGCAAAGGACTCCCAGGTCCTGCAGAAACCTCCAGAGGAGAGTCGTTTCGTGTTTCCAGGGGAGACTCAATCCCTGTTCGCCGAACGAGGCAGCGACTCAGGCGAAGACTCACAGATGGGACGGTCAGATCGTGATGAGTTTGTAGAGAGCGTTGAGAGCAGGGCCAGGGCAGAAAGACACGCAGGATTGAGTGACTGGGAAACCGAAGAAGATACGGATACAGATGATGCAATGGTCATGAACTTTTCGCAAAAGAAGAAGAAGAACTTACCGGGCTCAATCCATGTCAAGCGCAGCAAGAGTCACAGCCAAAGCCAAAACGTCGAGGCAGAAGATAGCAATTCCGATGCCAACATTCTCGATCTCAACGTTGCTTCACTCGAGAAGGGAGGGAATGATCGCAAAACCCTGAACTCCAAGCGCGGGTTGCTCTACGAGGAGGAGGCAGCAGCAGAGAAGCGCCTGGCTGCGGAGCACTACGCTGTCGAGGTCCGCGACCCATCATCACAGGACATCCGTGAGCACCGGTCGTCTGGCCACTACCACTCTGAAGAGCCAAAAGAGTTCACACCAAAATCTCCTACTACAAACCGAGCTTCCAGTTGGAGAGACGGCAGGGGCGCAAAAGAGAGGGAACGAACCAAGTCCAGCAAATCACTAGCAGATGACATCCGAGAAGACACGGAACCAGGCACAGCGAGTAGGTTGAGACGAATGAAGAGTGCAAGGGAAAGGAGACACAAAGAACCGAGCAAGGCAAAAAAGAACGATATCGACGACGAACTGGAGGACTACGATGGACAAGAGGAGGACTTTGTGGACAATGAGGCTCCACACTAGATGCTGGAGGCGAAAACGCGGTGTTACTTGTAGGAGTGAGGTACAGCAAGGGGGCGCGATCAAGTTACTCTGGATAATGACATCATTCCATTCCACATCAATGCGCAGTAGGACTGAAGCATTCCAAACGTAGTACTGATGTGACAACTCCCTCAACCAACGCAGCATGTCCACCAACCATACCCGTCTATCCTCAGCATCACTCCTCACAAACAGCAACACCCGCCTCCCCCTCCGCAATAGCCCCCATGAAATCCCCCACATCCTCCCCTCTCTCCCCAAGTACAAACTCCAACGTCGCAACCCACGTTTCTCCATTATTCGTGAACCAATCATACTCGGGACACAAGCTCCTCACGTACCCCTCCACCATGCCCTTGAGCGGCGCATGTTCCTTCAAGTAAAGTATCTGAGCAGGATCAAGCTTCATGTAGTCCTCGATAACGTAGTAATGCGGGATATCGTCGCCCCAGCCTTCAGCGCCGACTTCGTGGGAGGGGTGGAGCGAGTATTTGGATGCGGCGTAGCGGGAGGTGTATGTGGGTGTGTTGTTGAAGTGGGTGGAGAGGGGGTTTGGCGTGAAAGGGTTGAAGGCTTGGGGCGCGGTGGGTGGGTAGTTGAGGTGGATGTTGAAGAGGAGCGAGTGCTCGTTGCCCGGGTGTCGTTTCTTGAACTTTCGGGCGATGGTGCCGTTGGAGGGGCAGACGTTGCTTTGGACGACTTCGCGGATGACGGCGTGCACGTCGGCGATCTCGGCGAGTTCCCAGGTGCTCCAGTTGTGGAGGAGGGCTGCGCGCTTGAGTAGGACGAGGCGGGACGCGCGGGCTTCGCGTGGGTGGTCGCTGTTGTGGAAGGCCCGGGAGTAGAGCCAGATTCTATAGATGGCTCGTCTCACGAGGTAACGCTCGTCTGTTGTCAAGAGACGCCGGCTTTCGAAGTTGTGCTTCCATTTCTTGAACGGATAGATGTCGCACCATTTCTCAGCCGTGCGCCCGTGCTGTACGATCTGCTTGAGTAATGCGAGGGAGAACGGAACGGAACGAACGATGTGCGCAGGCTGGCTTTTGTTGTGGGTCAGGAGTTGAGTGAGGTCTTCTAGCGGACCGAACTGCGTCTCGGCGGCTTTCTCGAGTATGGGTAGTTTCTGGGAGGAAGAATAGATGTTGCGGAAACGACGACAGGTGGCAGATAGCGCTGTCACGTCATTGACTGAACGGCATGATAGGTACACCTGCACAACAAGCTCCGTTGCGAGATCTTCGAACAGCATCTTGAAGGTGGTTGTAGGGTAGGGGGGCGATTTGGTGGCTAGATCTCCAGTCAGTAATGAATTGATATGATAGAAGACATACAGCACGATATGTATGATGGAACTCACCTGTGATCTTTCAAGTTTACGCGTGTCTTCAGTCCGCGTTAGATGCTGAACTGTCTTTCGTGATAGTGATGCGAAATTCGATTCAATCTCGTCCTCCTTTCACTATTCTTCGACCTCAGTTTCGTATATCGATCTATCGATCTATCGATCTAATCGGTGCGTAGCTATCTCGCCTCTACACCGACACGTATCGCGTGGTTCAAACAAATCGGACCCCTCCGTTGGGGCTATAGGTAGAAAACGCGACGACATTCTGAAAAGACATGGTGCAAGTCAATGCAAGCTCTGGCGAGCTGTCTCTGGAATGGAAGGTCATCGTTAGTGGTTGAGGAAAGGGAAAGGAGTCATCAGTCGTGACGACCGTGGACGTGATGGATGCCGCCAAGGGGGGCTAACCCAGATTGTGGGGGCCAATCGGCGTGGAGACGGGACAGCACCGATGGCGTCAACGAGCAGCGCCAGGCATGCCACACGAAGACGCGCATATCTTCACAACATGCCATTGCACGTCCAATGCCACAAGATAAAGAGCGCACAATGCAGCACTCCACAGAAACCACACCCTCCCAGCTGTCCCCGCTCCTCCGCCTCCCAATCGAGCTCCGCCGCCTAATCTACAGCCACGTCCTCCCCCACACCACCACCTTCGACGTGCGTTTCCAGCACCCTCCCGACCCACCCCCAAAGTCCGAATACAATCTGACCTTTGTGCGGCAGAAGAACGGCGACGGGGGCTGGCGCATGCAACGCACACTACCACGCACAGAGCGCGAGACAGGCAACGACACAGTCTGGCGGCGCGGGCACACAAGTCTCCTCGCCGTGTCGCGACACGTCCACGAAGAAGCTGCAGACATGCTATACGGAGACAATACCTTTGTGATTGACGTGACGTTCGACGCGATCAACTTTCGGTATCGATGGCGCACGGCGAATAATCTTACGCCGAACCGGACGTATCCGTTCTTGGATCACTTCTCGCAGAGGAATCTGCTGCGGATTAGGAATTATGTTGTTAATGTTGAGTCTGTGGATGATTACACGGGGATGATAAAGTATAATTGCGGGGGCAGAGGCTTGCCGGCTGGCATAAAGAGTAAAGTACGGGAGCTGGTTGATCTGTTGGCTGTGGCGCCGCAGTTATATCGGCTGCAGGTGCATCTTATAGATGGCGCGATTAGTCGCGTGAGGTTTCCTAGTGGACGGGTACATCGTGTGCAGGACGAGAGTAACTATGCGCAGACACAGCTAGTGCTTGATCCTTTTAGGGCTGTATATGGAGTCAGACAGGCGGTTGTTAGTGGTGTTGATGATGAGTATAAAGAAGTCTTGGAGAAGAGCATGACTGCTGACAGGACACACTGATATCGCCAAAGGATAAGGAGTACTTGGGTTAACGGTCGCTCGCAATGAGCTACCCATTAAACGATAGCTTTTGGGTATATCGCTATACATACATACGGGCCTATGCCCAGCCCAGAATCGACGCCAATCTAAATAAGACGATGCATTCCATAAACGCCATTTTTCCTTCCCTCGAAACATGGCAAACAATTTTACGCGAACAGCACATTGTCGCTGAGCGGGTCCTTCTCTTTCCTGACTCCACCGTGCGATGTCAATCCCAGATCCTGGTGCTTGAGCAGGGTATCCCTCTGGGCGTCGGTCCTCTTGTTGAACCTGCCGGCCTTTGATTTCCTCAAGTCGGAACGGATCTGGTTGGGCGAGACGAACTCCTTGTTTTCGTAGATGATTGGACCTCCAAAGCTAGACTCCTGGATAACGATGGGAGTGAGGACGAAACGGGGACCGATCTCGACTAGGTTGACATCGAATTCGCTTCCCTTCTTCTTCTTGGGTGCCTCGTCAACGTCCATCTCCTCGCCATCGGCAGGCTTCTTCTTGCTGGTCTCGCTCTCGTTGATTTGGAACACGCGGATCCAGATCTTGCCGTCTGCGACTGTGAAACCCATCACGTGGTCTACGAAAGGCTTGACCTTTCGGCTCGTCTTGGGGACGCCGAAAATCTGGGTGAAGAGCTCCTTGATCACGCGAAGATGAGCCTGCTTGTCGAAGGCGGCGTCGAAGGAGAGAACTGGTCGCGATCCTTTCAGGCAGTTGCCAATGAAGTTGAGCTCTTCCATGGTGTGCAAGTTTTGCAGGTGCATCTTTACAGTAGGACCGTTTGGTGGCTTGGACATCCAGCAGTAAAGGTCCTTGCCCTTGCGAGCTTCGAAGAAGAGGACATTGTTGCAGTTGTAGAGTTCTGCTAGTTCGTTGAGTTGGTAAAGCTTCGTCTTGGTGTCAAGTTTGGCTTCTTTCCGGCTATGGGGCCTTTGAAAAGATCAGTAAATGAAGTTCTCTGATCGCGGAAACCACTCACATCAACGAGTACAAGTCCTGTAGCAAATGTCGGTGACGGAAAGTAACACCTCTTGAACTCTAGCAATCATCAGCATGGGTCTTGGTTTGCGCCGCGCGTGGATTCGTACCAGAATAAGGACACGCTGCTTGTTTCTCTGCACGCCCGTTTCCTTCTCCTCTTTCTCCGCGCCGGACAGGGTCTTGTATACGGAAGCCATGGTGATTTCAGGCGGTTGTTGCTGCGCTCGTCGGGGTGGATGCGCCTCTGCAAAAAAGTTCGAGAATTGATGCCGCCCAGAGTTTTAGCGCGATCTACGCTCGGGCCGCGCTACGACTGAAGGAGCTAGAGCGGATGGAGTCTTCGCGGCATGGTCGCGCCTTCCGTCACCGTCGTGGTGAGGCTTCATCCAATGGGCGTTTGCAGCCCCAACATTCTGCCCTGTTCGCTTTTGTGCCTGCGTGTTGTCATTGTCGCGTGCACGAGAGACTCAATGGAGATGGCAGTATATACAGAGTCAGCCATCGGATGGCGAGGAAATGAGATGCGCACGTCCGCCGTGGTCCAGAGGCTCGTGGTAGATTAGCCGAAGCTGGCAACGCCTCAACCCGGCACGCGGAGCAGCGACGAGCTGTAGGTGCTGAGAAGGGAAATAAGAAATGCTCAGGCGGCGGCAGCGAGTAGCAGCAGAGTGCCGGAATCGAGGACACTCAGGCAGACCGGCACAGACGAGAAGCGGCTGCACGCTGCATGGCGCCGTTTGCATGCACGCAATTATTGGTCGATGCACCCATCTGGGCGTGTATGCTCCTACGAGAGATGGGGTTCAGGTGCTTTGTTAAGAGGCACGCCCAGCAGCGCAGCAGCGTCGCAATGAAGGTCCCCACGCGTAATGCGGCCATGCCAGACATGCTCGACGCGGTCCGCAGCCCGCCGTGTCACATATTGCGTGTCTGTAGGGCGTCGCAGGCTCTCCATCAAACCTCATCGCGGCTCTGCATCACGCCCGGAGCTGCTCCAGGACAGAGTTGCCGCAGCCGCACTAAGCAGAAGCTGACTTGCCAACCGTTCGTGTGTGATCTAGACAGCGCTCAAGCAGCTCCACACCAGCCCCCATCCCATCTTCCCTCTTCCATCTCGTCGTCGTCGCATCCACATCGCCAACTGCCCGACGACCATCGCCGGCAGCCCTCGCCCACGGCGCATTCCCTCTGCTGTCGTCGCCGCGCTCCCTGCGCGCCCCACCGCCAGTGCCTGCTG